TACAGTGTGTTAGGTTAAACGAGGGACTTATTGAGGGAGGGTATTCAGTATTCGATTCTCGTCCCGAATATGTAAAAAACCTATAACCAAAATTTTTGAGGTAATTGTCTAATAAAATACATCATCATGAACACTGAGCGCGCAACAAGTGAACTTGTAAACAGAAACAGTACTTACATAAAGTAACTCGCGTTGCAAATCATGCGCCTATCTTGCCAAAAAGAATAGAGCGCGCTTAAGCCCGCTAAGCCGAAACCCGTAAGCGTAAGCGGAAGCGTTTTTATGGTGCTGTCTGTTATTTATTCGTGTTTTCGTTTCGTTTATATGTTTGTTAGGTTCATGTGAGTATACACTATTATGGGTTTGAATATGTCCCTCGTTTAACCTAACATACTGTATATGTAAAAGAGCGGCTCAAACAATTAATATTGAAGTCTCCGAGTAGAATAGTCTGGTCACAAAATGAAAGTGAGTCTATAGAAGCAATGAGACCATCGAAGAATAAATCGACATCAAACCAAGGCGGTCTGTATGCCGTGCCCATGGCAAGCCTTGTACCATTGATGTTCATCACCAGCCAAATGTGACGGGTCCACCGGGTGACGGTGCGTTAGCACATTAATTCCTCGTTTTATATAAAACCCAACTGCGCCTCCACGGCCGCCGCGCACGCTCAGCGGGCGCCACAGGTGACGCGGACGGTAGCCAGGCACAGTAAGTGCACGCCCCTCTAAAGTTGGAAGTCTGGATTAAATAATAGGGTAACTACATTTTATCCCGGAAAAATTTGATATTCCCGAGGGAAAACAAAAGTATTGGTATAGATGGCGCTGTATGTATTGGTATATGTCACATAGGCTACTTTTTATCCTTTTGTAACGCGAGCGAAGCCGCGGGTAAAAGCTAGTACTAATACTTACTAATACTAAATAAATCCACATCTCAACCAACTCGACTGTTGCCAAAAATCTGCGCTAGGTCCGCCTCATTGCGGATACGTTGAGCAGGGACACCATCTTCCCTATGCGCATAGATGCGTCCGTCTTTTGTCCAGACTCCAGACGTACCTATACCTAGCCCGCTGCCCAGCCTCACGAGCGCTGTGAAACAGTTTGCTATTCGTCTGTGTGAGACGCTCAATAACGTATACCCTACGCGGCGGGCCGCTCAATGACGAGGTCAGCCGTGGTGAGACCGCATCGCACGCGCGCCGCCCGTAGTAGCTGGTCGCGGACACCGCGGCGCGCCAGTCGCACCGCAATGATGCGCGCCCGGGTCTTCCGGCGGCGAGTCAACACCGTCGATGAAATTGCACCTCACGGCACCGATGCGCTCGATGTTTACGACATCCTGCTCCTCCACGGTGACACCCAGTTTCGCCGATACAACCCTTACCGTGTAGGATTTATATGCAGCCTTTGTCTCCGGTATGTCAGCAATTATTAGGTAGGTCGCTTTGTAGGAGCTTCTGATCTCGAATCAACTGCGTTTTTAAGGCTGTATTTGTTGTCTCCACAGTGTCGTAGTTCGCCGGATTTAACTCCTCAAAGCGCCTCTCAATGTCGGACACTTTGGTTTCGATTTTAGACATTCGTTGGTTGCAATCGTTAACTGACATGCGTAGACTCAGGACCTCGCTCTGAAATTGACGAAACTCGTCCCTCATTGCACCCAATGCTTGCATAAAGCACCTGATTTCGTGTGCCACATTTAGTTCGGTGGCACTAGGGGTAGGATCCACGACGCTCAGCGCGTTCCGGGTATCCGTGCAGCACTCAGACATGGTACTTTTATACGGGAGTGGCTGAGTTGTCCTGCCTGGGTGCCTTAGCCTTGCAACCCGGACAGAGCCGGGTCAGCGATACTGAGGCTGATACTGGAAAACCCACACAGCCGGGATTGGCACCCAGGCACTTGGTGCAACAGACGCACTCAGCCGACGATATAAACTTGCCACAACCACCGCACTAAGCTATGACCAATCTATAAATATGTAGGTACTCAGACAAATGCACTCCGTACTCAGTATCTACACTTGGCACACTCTAGCCAGTATACTATAGCAGTCTTTGGTACTGTTATCACTTAAAGTTATTGATATTTATTTAGAAGTTATGTTTTTTATTTATTATTATTTTAAGTTGGGGGTGGTTCAAAGGTGAATTTTCCGATCAATTATTTAGTTTTGGGTTTATTTTGTATTCACTGAGCACTGTCACTTATATGCGCACTTTATTGTACTGTTAGCTATATTTTTAGCAATAACGATTTACACTGCGGTCGTTGTTTATATTTTATTTACTCCCCTTACCCTTATATACTCTTTGATTTACTCGTTTGTCACACACACACACACCGGTCAGGCTGTTCGCCGCGTTCGTGACGTCACTCCAACGCTGCAAACTCCAACATGCAGCCAAGCATTCTTATCTGACAGTTTATAGTACGGTGTTTACATAGTTCACGCTTTATGCAAGTTTTAAATTATTTTGCAATTCAAGTTTTAAGATTCAATATAATATTTGGTAATTTATTATAATACATATTTGACACATAATCCCATGAACGATTTGTGCAATTATTTTTTGGACAGTCGGAATTGCAGTATAGCCGACTTATTTTTACCTCTCGTATTAAAATAACGGCGATCGCTTCTTTTTTCAAATAATTGGTAGGTAGTTAGATTTAACTTTCAAAAGCATGTTTTTGTTTCATAAACACAAAAATATACAATTAAAAACAGCACAATGTTTACTCGTCATATTAAATACGTACTCGAACTGTTATTGTTAAAAAAACAACACATTGTTCGTTCGTGTACGCCCCGAGCGCGCCCCGACATCGAGGCGGGTTGGTACCTATAGCTCGCGTTTCGTCCTTTTGTATGAAATTGGAATACTATAAGGTATCATTACCGTGCTACAGCTCACAGGTACGATACTAGCGACCTCAATTATTGCAAACTGGTTGCCAGGCTGTACCATTCCTATCTCCTGTGAATCTCCATGAATGAAGTGAGAGGTCTGCTGTAAAACAAATCAAACTTTATGCCAATGTCATCTGTCAAAAGTTGATTAAAAGAAGAAAGATGTCGCTGACATTTTGTTATGTCGTAAAGTTGTCGTCCGAAGAAATAAAAAGCGAAGAAAAATTCCAATATTATGCAGCTACAGTTCTTTATAACTAACCTGACCTAACTAATCAAATTTTGTAAAATGTCTAAAAGATAACTACGTATTGAACTAGATGCGGGCTGTGGTATCTAATGGAGCTTTCTTCTGAAGCTTGGCGAGTGAAGGTGAGTACTTACACTCGTTTAGTCCAGTATTTATGCGTCACTAGCTTCTGCCCTGCTCTGCCCGCGTTCCCGTGCGATAAAAAGTAGCCTGTGTTATTCCAGACTATAATCTGCCACTGTTCCAAAGGATGACGAGCTAACATGTAATGAAATGTATCTACCAACCAATAATGACAGACGTACGTCGTTAGAAAGCCCTATTTAGCACTTTCCCCGCAACGAATTGAGACTAGCCCCATAATAACAAATAATAGTCAAGAAATCGTTAGCCGCCGGCTCGACCGGAGTGATACCACGGCGTCACAGAAAACCTACGTGAAGCAACGCTTGCGCTGTGTTTCGTCGTGTGAGTAAGGTTACCGGAGGCCCAATTACCCAAATCCTTGAACCCCCAACAGTCTCACTCTTAATCCCCAAAAGGTCGGTAACGCTAGTGTTCCAGGTGTCCATGGGCGACGCCGAACGCCGATTGCTTACCATCAGGTGATCCGTCTGCTCGTTTACCAGCTTATGCTATAAAAAAGGGACATTCCGCCCGTCATCCTTTCATCCGTCGAAGTGATCGCACTTCACCAGTTTTGACGTGATTAACTAATAAACATTCTCACATACTTTCACAATTATTATATTAGTAAGATAAGATAGCATTGTTGTATCTACATGTAGAACTGTATATGACCTGTCTGTTTATTATTCCAGTGTCCCAAAAAGTGGCATGCAGGGAAACACAACAATGACAATATCTGCTCTACAGTAAGTAGATCTCTGCCTCCTAGCCAATTCCGACCACAGTGGCTAAATAGAAACTAGCCTACGTAAGAGTAAAGGGGACTTAGGTTCAACCATAGATATAATATCATATTCAACTCCCAGCGTACTTGGGTCCAGCTCTTTAGTCAACTTTATGGTAGGTAGGTACTCGATAATCACGCTTGTATTGCGACCTCAGAGGCCTTAGTACGGGTTTGTTTTACGTTTAAAGTAATCGTAACGAGTACGCGTTCGGCGCTCTGATTGGTTGCTTCATTGGCGCCGGCCAATCAGAGTGCCGAACGCATACTCGTTTCGAATACTTTAAACGTAAATCAAACTCGTACTAAGGCCTCAGACCGCGAAGAATTCGATAGTTATTTGTGCTTGGCACTCAGTTTAGTAATTAAGTAAACGGTAGCATTTAGCTTGTAGTCATTGTAATTTCACCCCCTTCCTGGCGACAGACCGATCTGATATTTGGTACACACTCTTAATCTTGATGACCATACAATATAATCTAATTGTTTCCACAACTACCTCCATTATGGATATCAAACGAAAGGGCTTGATTGGTAGAATAGAGCTCATTTAACATTTAAGTATGTATTACTGGTTTTTAGTTAAAATCATTATATTTCTAGAAGCCCCACAAGAAAAAAGAGGTAACATGGTCTTGCTTGAATCGAAACAAAAAGAAGAGCTATCGAGAACCCTCGATCCTGTCGCTGGCGAACTCTTTAAACGAGAACTGCTGCCACTTCTGTTCGACATTTGTCAGATATATCAAAGAAGTCATTAGGTGCGTATGCTGTCTCTTGCAATTAAAACTACCGTGTATACGCTTTGAGAAGTTGTTCTGCGAGTTATTCGACGCGGCGTTGTATACTCTAAAGGATACGTTTTATTTCGTGCGCGCTTGTTTGCGTGCGTATAGTAACAACTGTCAGCCGCATGATTCGTGCAGTTCCTTGTGACGTCATGTGTTCCGTTTGGTCCTTGCAGGCTGATTGCGCGGTAGCCAGCACGCAGCGTGACTACTATTTGTCTTTCGATTAAATCAATAAAAACATTGTAATATTTTGATTGGGGTTTTTTATTTATTAACTTTGCAAACCTTGTAGACATCAGTTTTGAAACAACGGATTTCTTGTTGGGCACTACCGTGCCCTATAAGCGCTAGGCTATTCTATAAGAAGTAAATTCAAACTCCCCAAGTGAACTCGATTGCATTCTCACCAGTCATTGCTCGAGATTATTCTCACATCTAATGAGATGGCGGACCGCGATTAAGCTCAGTTCCGAGAGTTTGAAATGACATGTTAGAGAATAGAACGGCTGTCAAACATTCAACGTCCAATTTCATCTATAAATAAACACTGTTGTCGGTAACATTTTTTTTATATTAGATGGGACTGACGTTTGATCACTATCTCGCCTGGTGGTAAGCGATGATGTGTCGCGGAGAACGGGTTACCAGGCTCCGGCTCGACGTGCAGGAGAAGGAACGGGGTGGTTTTTAGTCAGTAGTCTTACACTCCCTCCCGCCTCACCCAGGCGGGAGCAGTCGTTCGAAAAATTTTCCCCCTTTAAAAAAGCGATGATGTGGCCTACAATGGAGCACGTCGTCCCATAAGCAACCTATTCACTCGGGCCTTGAAGACACTCAGGTTATACCCTTCAGGAAACACAGACTCTGGCAAAGAATTCCACTCCATAGCAGTGCGCACAAGGAAGCTTGATGCGAAGCTCTTCGTGCGTGTGGGTGGGACATCTTACTTATTAATATTGTCGGAGGTTCAGTATTCTATTCGGAAGTTATTTTTGTTATTCGAAAATCCATTTTTATAGTCGGCCACAGATCACTAGAGTTTAATTTGTTTTTCCAAACTATTATTATTATTAGGTCCCAGGCAAAATACAGTAGCTCCCGCTAGTTTTAATGTGACCACGTCACTAGCCAAACGTAGCGTAGTAGGGCATCCTCCAGCTGTCCTGACAATATCCGGTGTATGGCTGGCAGTGGCTGGATGCGAAGAGCTGAAGATTGAGCTTAGAGCTGTGTGGGAGAGCGTCCAGAGATAATTATACCAAGGCATCAGAAAAAAACCAGTGATACAATGGTTTGGTTATGTTTTGCCGCGTGATCGAGGTTACCGGAGGCCCAAGTCCTCCCCTCTCCATTCTCCTTAATAGGGATGATGATAGGGTATGAAAATGAAAAATGTAATTAGTCCGTCAGTTAGATAATAAAAAAATATTAGACACGTATTTTTTTCGTATAATAAAACAACACTTAGATAAAACGAATCAAAGTTTAGGAGTGGAGTTAAAACGTCATTTGTACATATAAAATTTACATAGAAATGACGTCACGCGACATTTCAAATCAATATATCTTCGAAAGTATTCGTTGCTGTAAGAAAATAAAAAATACGTGTCTAATGTTTTAAAAGAATCTACCAGACGGACAAATAAAATAAAAATTAGTCATAGATCTACCCTATTCCCAAAAGGCCAGTAACTCGCTTATACCTCCTCTAGTGTTGCGGGTGTCCATGGGCGGCGCTGATTGCTTACCATCAGGTGATCCAGCTCGCTTACCAGCTGGCTATGAGAGAGGACTATGTCCAGCAGTGGACGAACTATGATAATCACTACATAGTATAAAACATAGTCGCTATCCGCCGTCTGTCTGTCCCTATGTATGCTTAGATCTTTAATACTACGCAACGGATTTTGATGCTTTTTAAAAGGTAGAGAGGTTTATGAGGAAGGTTTATATGTATAAAACATGCATATTGCACCCGCGCGAAGCCGGGGCGGGTCGTTAGTGAAAAATAAAAGACAACAAATTCATAATAAACGTTTTTTTCAAATAGCATATATTTTTACGAAATAAAAAATACACATACATCGTAACATAACGTATTTAAGCTATCCTTACATCTAATCGCCCGAAGATTTGTGACCGGGTACAAAAAGGAAAAATATATTAAAAACTAAAAAAAAATATTTCATTTATATATACTATGTTATATAAGAATTAATGTCAAAATGTATGGTTTGTGGGTTAAAATAATTATCAATTTCACCCAAGTATTGGTTGCCTATGAGGTTAGCAGCAACAAGTTCCTGGTTGGGTTAAATTTGACCAAAATAAGTACAAAGGAAATCTTACATTTACACAAGACTTCAATGTATGTAATCCACTGTATTTGGTCCTAAGCCCCCCGCAACTCGTTGCTAGGCAACCGCCATAGACAAACATCAACTTGTCATTTTTAAAAACACTAGACTGATTCTAGGTAATGTCAAATTGAACATAATAATAAAAAGGGTTAACGAAAAATAAAAAATGTATATTTTTGCGTTTATTAAAAAAATTAAGACAATTTCTCGTTTAATTAACAACAATGTAATGTACTGATCTCTTTAAAATGGCTCGTGTGACTTGGTCATAGATAAAAAAGAAATTTATTTAAGTAAATTGTTATTTACGTATTATATATAATTAGAAAATTGCTTGTCAAAATGTCCTACTGGCAGTATTAGTTACGTTAATTAATTACTTGCATTTTCATTTAACATTACGTAATTCGTAAATTAGACTAATTACGCATAAAAAATGTCATAATGACCAAATCACACAACCCTTGCATATATTACGTCCAAAATAGTAAAAAAAAGGAAAAAAATAAGTTAAAACTACACAAGTAGGCTAGCCTGCTTATACTTACATAAAATGCTAACATATATTATATTTTTGTTTTTATATTTAATATAATATCAACGTTATAGGATGATCTGTCAGTAAACTAAAATAAACTTTACACATAATAATACGATCCAATTCACCACGCTAAACAAACTAAAATAATTAAAAAAATATTTAATTTTTGAGGTAGACGACCGACACTGGCTTCATAAGACACATCAATCTCGCGCGCCATCTACTCAAGATTTTTTATCATCTGTCAAAAGTGACATTAACAGTTGAAATGTCAGTGTCAGTCGGGAATCAAATATGGCGTCACGTTGATATTGCAGTATCGGTCTGAAATCTTTGAAAGTTCAGTCGTAAGCAATGACAGAACATCCTATGTGACAGATATATTCTATTTCGATATTATAATTATTTAAAAGCACAAATTGGCGAGGGATCTTTCGACTCGCTGCTACAGCCAATTACTATCAAAAAGACCATAGTCACGACTCTATTCCTTCACAACTTGTTAAGGCTCTGGCAGATAACTTGATGTATCAAAATATCTGTCAGTTTAGTCAGACATTAAATGATTACTCAAACTATTCTTCAGTATCGGTTTTGTTTCGGAAACAATTGCTAAGGACTGGATTAATACGTTGATATATCGGACCGAAATTTGGTCACACAACAGTAGTCTTTAAACATTGGAAATAAGGTTTATAATGGATTACTGGAGACCGGTTATCGGCAACCGCTCGGGGATTGAAATTTAGTTAAAGTACAGTGACAATATTTTCCATTAACCACTGTACTCAGAGTAAGTAATTATAATATATCTTTGAGGACGCCAGTGAGTTATTGGATGTAGCAGACGGTTATCGACAAGAGCGCCCTCTATAAACATGAAAGCATTATATGCTGTCTAGAAATAATAATATTGTATAACGATGCACCACGTCGCGTTGAGTTTCAACTGAAAACGCCGGCGGTAGTTGCCTGCGTCTTGTACTTTGTAGATTATAATTTTTTGTATCTTTTTATATCTAGAATTTGTTTTACTCATATTTAGATACATTTTAAGTATAAGTTAAATGTAACTCCTAGTTTTTGTATATAATAGGGACCTATTGTTCATATAATGGATATAATTGGTATAACTTCTAGAATCCATTGCCATTATTGTATTTTTGTTACAACAATATAGTATCTGACACAGACACATGTTCTAGACATATAGATTAAAAAGACCGGGACAATCTTACTTTCTACAAATTATGTGTCTAATACATAATACAAAGGCCACTTAGTTTAAATTGAGTAGCAAAAGAGAGTATATTACGTATTAATCCTAATAAATTAATATACAGCCAATAGTAAAGGACATTTTGCATTGGTCACAATCTAACGCCGGTTAAGGAGCTGCCTCGAAGCCGGCATTCTCAGTTGAAACACTACAAATCAGAGACTATGATAAAATAGTTAAAAAAAAGAAAAATATAGATTTGAAAATGACATAAGAAAAGTTGGCAAGGCAAAAGTTGTGAATGTTCGGAAATAAATAAGAATTTACGCTTTTTTTTTTAAAGAACTATTTTATAGCGTCTTCCTAATCTAAGAGCGCTCGTACGCTCGACGCTCGATGCTCGCAAAGCCACGCTCGAAATCACGCGGCCGAGTGCAGAATCCACAAAAATGCTCATTACGTGCCGAAAAAATGCTCAATGCGTTACGAGCGCCATCTATAGTGTGGTAGCAGCTGCTAAGGCATTAACCTCGAATGACGGTGGGTGGGGTCTTTTAACAAAATTGTACAGATTTTTAAGCCGCTTAACAACCTTTGTAGTGCGAAAATACACCTTATTGTTATAGATTTTAAGGTTCACATTTGTATTACTCATGATGATAGAATCAATCCCGTTACCATGGTAACAGATTACCAGCTTTAATACTTTAGTTATAAAGTACATTTCAGCTCAACACTACACAAATCTAATATCATATTTATCGTTCTTATTTTTAATATTAATGTTACCATGGAAACGCAATCATTCTTTTATATTTTAAAATTGATTAAATCTTTGTTCACCCCCTTGGAAGGCTTGTACTAATAAATGGAGAGTCAGGCCATAAGCGACTTTTAACAAAAATCAATAAAAAATTCTTAATACTAGAGATGAGTTCGTTATACTAAATTTATATCAATGCCCAATTATAGATAATAAAGAAAATTACAATAATAATAATAAAACATTTAATAGATTTTTTACATTTTCGAGAACAACTGAAAAAAACGAAAAAAATAACTCAAAAGTGGGACTTGAACGCACTGAACACTACTGTCTTGAGTTTTCTGAACGCAACTGTCGTAAGTTCAAAACCCACTGTCAGGTTATTTTTTCGTATTTCTGAAGTTGTAACACAGTTTAAAAGAACGAACCCACCTCGTATACAGCATGTTATATTTCCACAAGAGTATGTACAGCCCACCGCTCCATGCTGTATAAGCTGACAGCTGACCATGACCTTACAATTATTACAAAAAACATTACATTACTGAAAGCGAGATGGCAGTGATCATCTGTGGGATTACCTGGAACAAATATCATTATTGTTATATTCGTAGAAGAAGGAGACAGGTACATCTTCTCTTTCATACAATCTGTTATTCTGTGGAATGCACTACCCACGGATTTCAGGACGGCATCCAGTCGCTTAGCTTAACACGTTAAACGCCATGGGGGTCACCGGTGACCGGCGTTAGCGCGTTAGCGGAGGATTTACCTTCAACAGTTTTTTATTGGCAGTCAGTCTTAAGATTTTTTTTTATGGAATAGGAGGCAAACAAGCAGCCGGATCACCTGATGGTAAGCGATCAGCGCCACATTTACATCCCCTACCATTTGAACTCTTACAATCGCTTCATTCGGCTGCCCTTGCAGTGAACAGACGTGCGCATAAATAACAAAATTGTATTAACGTATACATAGTGACCTCCTTTAAAATTTTTGCCTACTGCGAAGTTTACGTACTAATATGGAAACATAAACTGATTTAAAAATGGATAACAGCCCCAGCAATATCCGGGCCTGTGCTTCACAAGTAAAAAGTCATCAATCTGACTTCTATATTGAAGTAGTCTCCACATCAGAACTTCAAAAATGGATGTCATCTATCGAGAAGCAATTAAATGAGGTCTGCATTATTGCCACGGAAGGCAAACTGAATTCGGAGCAGAAACTAAGAATCAGTAACCTGAGCCGCAAAATAGGATCTGGCGTCTCTCAAATGGCAGTCCTATACCAGTCTCTGAAGCAAAAGGCTAACCAAGCAATCGACATAATTGACAACCTTCACGAAAAACGAGACCTAGCAGAAGAAATCATTGAATTAAAAGAAACAATTAAGACCTCTCCCGCAACAACAAACGTGTCCTTTGCTGATATGGTAAAAAAAGGGTCAAATGATTACATAAAACCCAGTAATCTAAGCTCTGTCGCCATTTACCCTGTCAACAAATTAAAATCTAGTGACGAAACTAAAACATTAGTTCAGCAAATCATTCGCCCGGATCAAATGAAACTACATGTGCGTGGAGTCAGGAAAATTCAAAACGGTGGTGTGATAATTAGCACTGAGACCAAGGAAGATGTTGAGAAGGTAAAGCAGGCAGTTAACCTTTCGTCGACTGGACTTATTACCGGTGAGCCCAACAAGCGCCAACCAAGAATAACGGTAGTAGGAGTGCCCACTTCTATGACTGATACTGACGTATTAAAGTGTCTCTATGAGCAAAATGTCGCTGAAAATTTTCCGGAGATGTCACTGGAAGCCTTTTTAAGCAACATCAAATTAAGCCATAAATCCGGGAAGAAAGATACAGCGAACTGCAATTTCATCATACAGGTTCCAGCTAAGATCCGCAAAGCCCTCATAACTCAAGAAAGGATATACATAAATTGGACTTCTTGCCCTGTGAGAGATTATACATTAGTTACCAGGTGCTACAAATGCCAACAGTATGGCCATGCCGCTAAAACATGCAGAGACCTCTCGTCATGTGGACACTGCGGAGAAATGGGCCATGTAACATCTGCGTGCACGAAAAAAGTAGAAGCTTCAAAATGTGCCTCTTGCTCTCGCTTTAATAAGCCCAGTGATCATAAAACGGGAGACCCTGAGTGCCCTGCTAGGAAGATAGCAGAACTCAGGTACATCAATTCGATTGACTACGAGGGCACATAATGCGTCATACTCTAGTCTAGGTCACATTACCGAATTGATGACACTTCCGAAGTATTTCCTTGCACAACACTACCTATATATCAAACATATGATTATTCATCGCCCTGTTGCTGAATAAGCACAATTATTATTGTGAAATTAAGAACCAAGTGAATGACCGTATGGACTTTAGCCTAGTATATGTTTCTGCTGATGCATGTTAATTCCTCGGCAATAGTGATAGTTTTATTTTCGAACTGATTTATAATTATATTGTTTACGTATGTATATTTATTAGATACATTATAATATTATATTACGATTAGTTATGGACCTCAGCCTATCTTTTCTGAGAATATAGGGTATGAGGTTATGTTTTGTATGTAAGTATGTTTGAATGTATGTATATTAAAATAATCATTATATATATTTTTTTTCTATTGCATACTGATAAATATTTGTGTTTATAGAAATAAGATGTGCTATTGTAAAAATTATATTTAGAACTCCTCTCGCCTGCGATACAGGATTGTCCTAGTGCAGGCATCTAACTATTTGAGGTCAATTGTACGTAATTTAGATATATTTTCGAATTTTGCATTTTTGTTATTATGAATAAAGTTTTATTATTATTATTATTATTATATAATCACAAAAGGCGCAGCCTACTCATACTACATGAGTAGGCTGCGCGACGTCGCCGCGACCGCGCACGCTGCTCATGAGCAAGAACCTCTGTGGCACGTAACTAGTAGAGCTTTTCTCAGTATATTCGCATGAGTAACCCGGGATTTTTAGTTACCTACATTGCATTTTGTAATGCTGTTTACTGTCTCACGATCCTATTATAAATTACTTACTACAAATTACTATTATAAATCGGAAAGTGAGTTTGTTTGTTTGTTCCACTTTCACGCCGTAACTTCTAAACCGATTGCTTTGAATTTTTGCAAGCGTAAAGTTAGAAGTCCGGATTAAATAATAGGGTACTTTTTATGCCGGAAAATTTTGATATTCCCGAGGGAAAACAAAAGAATTGGTATAGATTGCGCTCTGTGTATTGGTATATGTCACATAGGCTACTTTTATCCTTTTGTGACTCGAGCGAAGCCGCGGGTAAAAGCTAGTAATAAATAAATTAATTAAATAAAAAAGCTTAAGACAACATACAAAATCAGTTTCTTAGCATTTATTAACTAAATTGCTTGTTTCTTATTGTGTTAACGATTTGGTCTCACAATAGTTATTATAAAAACATAGCAATGTAGTTAATATTTGTACAACAATATATAATTACCTCTAGGCGGGTTGTGGCGTGGTGGACTTCTTCTTCTCTTTCTTCTTCTTGAGGAAGGAAGGCGTCCGGAGCCCCTTCTTCTTCTTCTTGTCCTTCTTCGGAGAGTCCTCGGTCGACACCTCCTTTGAGGGGGAGCCCTGAGGATGGTGTATATATTGGTTAAAATGTGTACATGTAACACCCACATTTCACTATATTTGGTATGAGTCCCATGTAATAGGGCGTGAGTCTATTATCAATTATCATATACCGGGCACAATTTCAGACTCTGCTACTACAGAGATTTAAAAAAAAACATTAATACTTTGTCCGAACCGGGAATCGAACCCGAGGCCCCTTGCCGAGCAATCGCACTTGCGACCACTCGGTCAACGAGGCAACATTTAAGACATATTAAAGAAAAAGTAATTTTTCCCGAATTTTATAAAATTGTGTACCCATTTTTTTTCTATTATAAATGCATCATAACTTGCCAAATAGAAGCGAGGTAATTGCAATACATTTACACTTGGACCTAATCTAACATCAAACTATACCTTCATACATGGATCACAAACAGTGGGTAAAAAAGTAGAAAGAAGTATAGTACTCTGCTTACCTCTTTACTGCTATGCGAGAATGTGCTCTGGTGCGCGTCAGAATGGTCCCCGTTCAGTGTGTGCTCTCCTGTAACACAACATTTATACTAATTAATATAATTTCACAAAAATCAAGTAATATAATTTAATATCTAAGATATATAGACAGGTAGGAATCGAACCCAACGCTTGAAATACATTTTTAAACATATTAAATCCATAGTTACATTTTTTTTGTCGACTCAAAAATTGTATCGTGCGATCTTTAAAATAAATAATCTTAAAATTTAATTATAATAATAATATAACATAATTTAAATTAACATTAAACTAATCATTCTCATGCAAAAAAAAAACAATTAAAAAATGCTCATTACAAAAAATGCTCGTCACAAAAAATGCTCGTTAAAAAGTGCTCGTCACAAAAAATGCTCGTTTATTAGATAGAGTGGTGACTTACCAACGTGTGTTAGTACCAGGAACCGTCGCTCCCGAAACCACGTGAAAGCTAGTGCCATGCAAAGCGGTGTCAAAACAGCACACAATATAGATGTTAGGCTTTTGTGCTCGAAGCATAAAGTATTTTGCAAAGATGTTAATTAACGATATTTGGGAAAATATGTGTTAAAGTCTTAGTTTTACACTATTAAAATACCATAAGAAATCTGTAGTTAGTTTTATGAATATTTAGACAGATATAGAGTTGAGAGTCCCTATATATTTCTTAAAAAATAAATATCCTTAAAATAACATTTGACAACTTCGCAAAATACTTTAATAAGAAAAAATTGCAACAGAAAAATTTAAAAGTCACCCAAATCACAATTTGAACATCATATACTGAAGTCAAGCAAAAAACATCAATAATTTCTCAACACCCACAGACAAACTGAACTTAATACAATCATGTACATAAATAAGAATGAAGATGTGAAGTTAGTGATGTTAGCTAGTTAGTCCCTTCACATTTCATACTGAACAAAGACCTCTTCCGATAGTAAGAAGATAACTTATAAATTAGTCATCAAACCAAAAAATTGTTATTATCACACTGCAGTATCAATATTACGACTTCTCAAGATATTAATTGTGTACTTGCCAACTAGTCACATTCAATACTTTTTTTAAACTGTCAAAAACGACAGTTTTCTAAGAATTGTGACGTCACGTTGTTTAGCGTCAAACAGTATATTTATTTCTTAAAATTTGCTTGGAAAAATATTAAAATTAAGTTGGTCATAAAATTAATTACTGAAAGTGTTCAATGCAATGAAAACATTTCATTATATTGAACAGTTGAAATCATTTATTTTTGATTAAAGAAACCCAATTGAAACAATTTCCATTTTAAAACCCGAATATAATTCGACATTACAACCCAAATACTCCCAAATGTCTCACTAAACAGCCCCAATATCGGTACTAGAGTACCAAAACTATCGAATATCGATACCACAGTGTCAGAAAGGCTCTAGCTACACAGAAACAACATATAATAAAACGTTCACTTTAATAGCAGTCACAACTAGATCACAATTGTAGTGAAGTGAGCATACAATAAACACACACATACACAAGTTTACACAACGTCTACAAATAGTGATGTAATTCATTAGTCTCAGTTATCGATGTTTTGTAAAATTAGCCGGGATAGCGCCCGAACACTGAAAGGTTACTAAAGGACATTGCTCTGCGTCCATACATTGTTGGCCCTGGAGCCAAGAGTATCCGATAAATATGTATTGTATTCTCTATCATTTGTAGACTCCTAGAAGATCTTGTTTTTATAACGGACTAGCTGCAGAAAAGGTATATATTGAATGTTTGAATGATTGTATAGAAGTAAAGAGGTTTTGATTACTGTATAATATTATTGTTACTACCTATTACATTACGACGATTATTATTCATTACATTAGGCGAAGGCATTTGACAGTCGAAGATGGCGATCTAAAGTTATTAATCGCGTTAAATTCTATTAAAGGTACGTTTTGGAATACAGCTAGTCCTTGGTACAGAAGTATTTGCAACTTATATAATAAAATAGGGGATAAATTATCGTATATTCTGATACTCTATTACACAGGGCCATTTTGTACATTGTCCTATGAAGTTATACTTAAATATTGTGGCATCTCTGTCATTTTACAAAGATATGTAGTGACAGAAGTATACTTTAGCGCGACTTAAAATGGTAGTCTTTCAGTATTCAGGCTTAAGTCTATTTGTTTTGTCGTTAGAAAAAGGACTCTAAAACTGTGAATTTTAACCTATTGTCCAGTGATATTAAAATGGGATAGAATCACTATCAACACAGTAAAAGAAATAAAAATATTGAATTATAGTTTCCAAAATATATCTAACTTTGTATGTTTGGGGACCATGCAATACCAAACGTAGCGAAATTGAGATTAAACTAATACAAAAACCTCGTTATTTCGGACATAAAATACATATTTAAATTCTAAACAAAATCCTAGACGAATGTCCACACCGGACTGCGACACCGTTGTCTTTAACAAACACTTATATTAATTAATAAAAAAATAGAAAAACTACATACAAAACATACATTGAGTTGTAAAAAAACATGCTTCTATAAAAAATACATATTTAGAGATTCTCTCTCTGGGTGAGATCAACTTGCATCTATCTCTTTTTACTACACCTAATTGTTACCGAACGAATGTTTATTAAATGTCGAACACATCGCTTGCTTACTACAGACTGAAGTTAATAACAAGGCTCAATACAAAACCCCTGAATCGAAAGTTCTTGACAGAAATACAATGCCACTAATGTCAAAAAATCTTCTCCAATATAAACATTGAAATCGGTACATACTTTACACCGGGATACTTGGGCGGTGCAACTAGTCGCCGCGACCAGTAAAACGTACACAGCTCTATCTGTTGCCCGCTTGTTTGGACTATCAATGTGGCGGCGCGACCATCGGACGGCAGCTATAGAGGTATATTCTGATACTTTTGCAGTGGGACGTGTCGGATCTGGTGTCTATACTATAGACTAGGCACCTAGAGCTAGACAATTATAGTGTCTATATTAGTAGCTTGCGGATACCACGGTGGCGCGACTGGTTGCGCCGCCATTGTGTACCGGCGAAATATAACGCTAAGTGGTTTTACAGTAAAATATAATAATTCTTGAAGGCTATGTACCTTCAGTACGTTTACATTTCCGTTCTTTTAAAACACTATTCTCATAAATTAATTATTAATTTGTACGATACACAAATTACCGTCTCACTACTCAATGTTAGAGCTATCGATAAACTAGATACTATTATCGAAATTAGGATCCTCTACATCGTTGGGATCGAAGCTTTCGGACATTCGGAACTTTGATATGATGCGATAGAACAAAGTATCTTCGAAAGGAGGCCAACTGGAGTACGGTCGTTTTGATGGTCTGCTATGTAGCTCATAAAGCATTTTTTTCTGTGGCTCTGCATCATCTTCTTCCACGTCAGGATCGTTGACTAGTTCCCTGACTCTCTCTTGGGTTTTAAACTCGATATTAGATGTGCTAGGGGAAGGGAAAGCGACTTCAGGCTCATGAAACTCATTTAGCAACACGCTCGATCGCTTCGTGTTTATATTACTATTCTTTTCAAAATAATCCGTCTTATTATCAGCATTTTCGTCTAGGTCTATCGATATGAAGCTAGGTAGGGTATCGTCCATGCTCTTTTTGCTACGTATAGACGGTTTTTCGGTCTCAACTTTGAGGTTTTCATCGAACGAGAGCCAGTATTTGACGCCGCCGGAATGTTCAGTTTGAGACATAGCTAAGACGTTGGCTGTTTTTGTGAATGGAGACGGCATATCACTAGAATATTTAGTTACATATTGAGGGTAATCTTTGATCGGTGACTCAGTAAGCTCAAAACGTTTAGTAGTCTTTCTGTTGGGAGATGAAGATCGGCTCATGGCATCTTTGGACGCTGTATATTTCCTCTTCCTTGAACTATCTGTCGAATCATTCGCTTTACTAATAGATATATCGCGGTATTCCGGACAGAAGGCGTCTTCGTTTAAGGAATCTATAACAGGGCTTAAGTATACCTCAGTGTCTGTACTAGACTTAGCGATAAAACTGGCGAATTCTTCAGCTTGACTAGAAATATCTTTAAATTCGTCATTAACACTGGAGTAATATTCATCATGTGATGTATCGTTGGTTTTATCTACTTCGATGATATAAGTATCCGTTTCAAGACTTAAATTTTCTTTCATTTCTGAAGTAAGATCTACATCAGGAGTAGCGAATATTTCCTCTGTATGTGAGGAGATGGTAGGGTCCTCTGAGTGACTGAAGTCCTCATGAAATGCATTGTTCATATCATTGGTTTCATTCAGTGCCGTCTCATTGTCGGCGACTTTAGATATGTTAGTTAAGTTCGCTGTTATATCTATTTGTGCGTCGTCTAAGTTGACGTTAGAGGCATCTAGTTCCGTTGCTTTAGTTATAATGTATGTAAGATTAGCTTTAAAATCTTGATATAATACTACATCTTTGCAATGATTTGTATTTTCTTCAGACACGTCTACATTATTGACGATATCATTTACTTTGCTTTGTTCATTTGCATCAACGTGAATATATTCGTGTAAACTTTCATTGATGTTTACAACATTTTCAACTTTATTATCGACTACATTAGAGTTAATATCTTTGTCAACATCCGTATCTTTGACCTCTATTTCTACATGAACCGAATCTTTCTTAGCTTGAACAATTTGTTCATTGGTACTAGCGAGACATTTAGCATTAAAGAAGTCTTTAATCGCATTGAAATCTCTTTCTTCACTACGTTCTTCTTCAACGGGTATATCATCACACACTTCAGAGTCAACCCACAAAGGTATGGCTGTGAACAAAATATCTTCAAAATCAGCAACAGTTATGACCCTTTTAGCAGTCTTTTTACTGGCTTTATGTTTTTCTATATTAATAAACATGGCTCTATTAAATATGTAATACAGTATACTTTCGACAACTTTATGGGCAATTCCTATATCAACATCGCTCGTTTCTGTAAGAACAGTTTCATTTAGAGGGATATTTTGTTCGATATCCTCAATTATCTTAGCAATGGAGAATGATTCATTAATGTCATCCGCAAATATATCGTGCACAATACTAACATTCGGTTCTACTTCGACTTGAAGTACTATATCTACTACCTCTATTCGATTAATAATAGTTGATATAATGTCAGCTACTAATTCGTACTTCTCGAACTCAGCTGTAGTATCAAAGCTGACACGGTCATTTGAACTGAGCGTGCTTGCTAACGAATTCTGTCTCTTAATTTCTATGGTATCTGACTCGTTTTCCGTTGACAGTATTTCGAAGACATTATCATACACACTATCTATTATATCGTCTTCTGTGTCGTATACATCTATAGCTGTTTGTACTGTGTTAGTTGTGCAGCTTTCTACATCATTAAGTGTGACGTCAGAGTCTTCCTCGTTGACTATGTAGCATTCTTGTCTGCTAACACATTCAGCTACTAGTGCTTCAGTAGTAACCTTTTTAGAAGTGTTACTAGTTATTTCCAGTTTCAACTGGCTTGCTGTCATAGCCGTGTTTATCATTTCTGTTACTAAGTTACCCATGACTTCTTTTTTATCGCCTTGAGATATGTTTGAATCATCTCCGTAGGAGCTTTTGGATTCTTCCAAAATTGGTTCAAGAACATTTTTTGTTTTCATTGGGGATTTTTTATCACCAGTGGTTTTATAGTCTTCACAGTAAAAGTCTATTGGTACGGAGTAATCCCTGATATCCTTCTCAACTAGTTCTTTAACGGGACTCTCATAAGAGTCTTCTAAGTCTGTGAAACTATGGTATTCACCTTCAATAGATTCTAATGTCTTATTTATATCTTCAGCTAATTCATCATCATCATAATTACTGTCTTTAGTGGACTCACCCTGCTCTGTTACACTTTTGTGGATATAAATTTCAACCTTATCCTCATTAACTACGACAGTTTCTTCCTTATCATCAGATTTCTCAATAACAGTCTGGTTTTCTGAAGAGAAACTGTTCCCTATATCTCCTATGTAATTATCTTCATTGAATTCCTGACTCTCAACGAACTCAACGTCTTTTTTCTGAACTTTGTTCACAGGTATAAACCTTTCTTGTATTTTAACGAATTGTGCCTCTCTGTCATTTTCATCTGTGCACTTCTGCGGTAGGTTATCCACGGAGAAATATAAAGAGCCATGGTTCTTAGCCTTCCTAGCTTCTTTGTTAAGTTCAAAGGCGTAGGAGACATTGGTAGCACCACAAGAACGGCATCTTGGAACATGATAATGGACAGGTTCAGGGTCTTTCATGTAGGCGTTAATGAAGCCGCTATGAGATTGCGTTCTGAAGAGTTTATTGGTTCTAGTTCTGGGTAAGGACCTTGTACGGAAACCAGATTCCGACCTGCAGCGTCCATCCCATTCTATGGAGGGGATGGAATAAAGACTGGACCGAGAGCTTTCATTACCGACCTCATTGGTTGGGTGTCCTAGCCTATTGTTAAGACTAACCTTACATTTAGCGCCCCTACGAGGAGAATCATACGTTTTGACAATATTATCGAAGTTCGTATTGCGGGAGTATTCGTGTTTGGACCGCTTGTTAGAAGATAGGGCTTCTTTCTCTTCTATATTACCTGTAATGTGTGGGGGTTAGTCAGATGGACCGTTTTTAAGGGCAAATGTACCGTATATTTTCTGGATTAGAAGTCATAATATCACGACTACTTCTCTGCTACGTTCAACTTCTACATACGTATATGAGGAGGAAAAGAGATAGCTATATCATAGGCAATTAGATACAACTATAAGACGGATAGGTACTTTAAATTATATACAGTATAACAAAGTATGTATTAGTTTTGTTTGCTCGTGTTTAACGAAATATATTTTAGTTAAGTAAATATATATATAACCTACAGGTGTATTAGTTGAAAATATAATAAGACGTCAAAAACTGAACAAAACCTGGCAATTTTCCAAACAAAATCCTCGAAAATACAGCCCTAAGATGTGATAACGCTTTCCTCTAACGAAATGACGCCTAAACCATAGCAATGATGGCTGTATAATGATCCAAGACACATGGAGACAACTGATGATGGGACGACACAGTGTATAGCTTTGAAATGGTCATTCAATGATTCGTAATGACAGGTCCACCTAGCGACACACTGTCAATGGTTAAACACAAACACTGCCTTATTGCACGGCGCATAAGGTTTGATTTCCAAGCCATTTTATTTAAAACTGACATTGGATTAGTACTCAGTACTTATACTTAATGACAGTTTCGATGATGTTTGATATAAGATTAAAGCCCCCACTGTATGTAGGGATCAAAGGCACAATTTCGGTAAGTGTTCAACCAATGGCAATGTAAAGACAATCACAATAAAACACACACAGACAACTCCTATGCAAAAATGGCAACTGAACAAAACCCTTAATTAATTATTATGTTTTCGGCGCACTCTCGAAATTGTTTGATGAAGAACTCGACTAGTTTCAAGCCATGCACTGCACAATGTTATCAATTAAATAGTATAACATAACATCATGTCTTTCATCCCCGAAGGTGTAACCAGAGGTACACATAGAAGTAACACCCACTTTTCGCTATTTATGTTTTGAGTCCCATGTAATAGGGGGTGAGCCTATTGCCATGTACCGGGCACATAAATAATATAACATTACAGTCATAAAACCAAGTCGTTATACATTTCAAATAATTAAATAAATAAATATGAGCCCTAGCATGACTATAAACTAGTCGAATTCCTCATCAAACAGTTACGTGAGTAAGGCGAAAACATAATAATTAAATTAAGTATGCCTTACCAAACTTTCACACCCTCTCCTTAAAATCACATAAAATCGACTAGGACAATTCCACTCAACTTAAAACTGTTAACTGATAACAATAGTATAGGAATAGTCCCGTATCGTTCCGATTGGGTCCCTAACCTCTGACAGCGGGTTGACTGGCCTGACTGGGTCGACTGGGCTGAGTGGGCACAGGCTGCGGCGTGGTGTAATGCTGAGAGCGCACCACGACCGGCTTGGGAGGCGATGTGAATACCTCGTCGTCAGATAGAACAGTTGGCTGTTTCGCTGCCGCTGGTAGTATAGAGATAGTAATCAAGTTGTGTGTCTATCGGGATTGTTTATCATTCAATCCATCTTTCATTCGTATACATCAGAAGTATTAACCATACATAACGTCACAATATAAAACATAGTTGTGTTAGTTATATTTATAGAAAATGACATAACATAACATCACGCCTTTTATCCCGGCAGAGGCAGAGGTGCACATTATGCCACTGTACAATGTAACACCCACTTTTCACTATATAATAGGGGGTGAGCCTTTTGCCATATACCGGGCACAATTCCAAACTCCGTGCTACTACGGTCTCTCTGTCTGTACTCGAAAATCATTAGATAGAATAGTGTAAACATTTGTGAAGAATTGGATATGCGTAATTGCATATAATATTAATAGTTTACAACCTAATGGACCGATTTCTTTTGAATTAAATTGGATTTTAAATTAGACACATCGTTTTCCGTTGTCATTCCACTGTAAATTATTGAGTTAGAAGTCCTTCAGGACAGACAGTGTGCAAAATCTATGCAGCCATTGTCAAGTAACCGACAATATTATCCATTTAAAAAAACGTTGCCTCACATTAGCGATTTTCTCCTGTGTCGTGAGTACGTTTACAAATATACAAGTTCACATAGACATGACACTCAGACCCGAAACAACAATCTGTGGATCACACAAAGAGTTGTTCTGTGCGGGAATCGAACCCGCGACACGTTGTGCGGCAGCCACCGCAACAACTGTATAACTAACACAACTATGATTTATACATACATACACACAACCACAAAACCACTTCCAAAATAAACTTATCAATCAATAGACCTCTCTATCAATCAATCAATCTATCAATCCTTCAATCGCCATACCTCTAATAACGACGCGCTGTTCCGGTGAGCTCGCCGGCGGTACGGGCGAGTCGTAAAACACTTCGTCGTCAGACAATAGGTTCGGATCCCGGGGCGGATCTACTTTTATAGAACAAGCATGATAATAAATCTCTATGTAACTTAAAGAACCTAAGTTAACCGTCATTAGGAAAACGTTAAATGTAGGAACCTTCAATTGGCTACCGCCTATCCCTACCTCCCATTTTTTAAATTGTATTTTCGACTTTATATCAAACAGTTAAGTTGAAATCTAAGTTATATATAAAACTTTAATAACTGTACACGTTGTGTTGTTGTGAATAGTAAATAAACAAGTAAAAGAAAGAAAATCTACGAACAAAATAGAAGAAATACAAACATAATACATATTAGAAAAACTAAATCACAACAGAAAACGCAAAAGTCAATAAACTAATACTATACATTTCTTGCGCAACAGTTGCGCGATACATTCAAAACAAAATCGGGTAGTTATTAGTAGAGAAACTTTAGATTTGTTGCGCAACAGTTGCGCGATAGTTGGGCGACATATAGAAAACAAATCGTGTAAAGATTAGCATTGAAAGATAAAAGTTAGTTGCAAGTGTTATACCAGCTTTTTACATGCATGCAAGATATTAATAGAATAAAAGAGAATTTGTGGAAGATTTCGTATGAATTATGTATGTACGAAAATATTGCTTTGAGCCTTTGAATTTTGAGTGAGCCTATTGTCATATACCGGGCACAATTCTGGACTCCGTGCTACTACTGATTTTTTTTTAAAAACCAAGTAGTACTTTGCGCGACCCAGGAATCGAACCCGAGAAGTCCTCCTCGAAACTCCTTGCCCGGCAGTCGAACTTGCGACCACTTCACCAACGGGCAACGAATTGGTTATTTATTTTAACCGTTAATAATCCGATTGAGGACAAATTGACAGACATTTGCAAAACATATCCTTTTAATATTGAACTCGTCGTTACTATACGATGAATCATACAAAATCTTCCACAATAAAATAGACTAAAAATATTAGTATTCAACATAGATACATTAGAATCAAGTCTACTATGAACTAACCTTTCGTCCGATCGGTGTGAGCTCGCTCGGCGGCCAAGAAATCGGTCGTGTCCACTAGAAGGTACCGATACGATTTCGTTTACAAACATACACATGCAATCATTCTATATAATTATGTATATATAGTTGGAGTAGGTAATGTCATCATGCCTGTTTATATGGATTCAGTAGAAACTGTAAGGATTGGCGAGTTTGTTTGTCATGGTCTTCTCAAAAGTATTCAAATTTATGGAAATGGAGGCCAACGAGCAGACGGATCACCTGATGGTAAGCGATCAATGCCGCCCATGGACACCCGAAACACCAGAGGAGCCACAGATGCGTTGCCGACCTTATAAAAAGGAATACGCTCTTTTCTTGAAGGTTTGAAGGTCGTATCGGTTAAATAGCTTATTATCCCCCATCCCCGAATCCCCAAAAAACCTCAATATAACTAAAAATGACGTGAATACACTGAGAAAAGCTCTACTAGTTTCGAGACATATAGGGGCATTTTAGTTAATTTAGTATGTCTCACGATAGTTATTATAAAAGTCCTAATCCCCAAAAGGCCGGCAACACACTTGTAACGCCTGTGGAGTTGCGTATGTCCATGGGCGACGCCGATCGCTTGCCATCAGGTGACCCATCTGCTTGTTTACCTACTTACATAATTTTACTGACGCAAAAATCGAAATTGGACCATTAGTAACAGAATAAATTGGACGCTGTATGAGATATGAAATTATGTTCACCTGAAATAAGTTCCCAGTTCAAATGTAACACCCACTTGTCGTCAGTTACGTTATAAATCCCATATAATAAGGCTAGGTAGACCAATTTTAATAAAACAAATACACCAATCCTTACAGGTACTAAAAAGGGGGAAAAGAGAAAGAGATCGTGCTTCCAAAGAATTATCATTCTCATTAAAGACTCAGCTATCCAAAAATGGCCATATTTCATACTTGTATATGATCCGTCAAACAGGGTGAATAGAATTCGAGGGGTGAATAGATACAAGAATGGGGTGAATAATTGTTAGAATATTTTCCCAACATTTGTTTTTTTTTATTATTTTTTTTAAGCCCCACACTAGGATTTTCTCCTGTGTCGTGGTTGCGTTTACAAACATACAATTTCACATACACACACACCCAGACCCGAAACAACAATTTATGGATCACACAAAGTGTTGTTCCGTGCGGGAATCGAACCCGCGACACGTTGCACGGCATCCGGTTGCCCAGCCACCGCACCAACCGTGCAGTTTTGTTCACCCCTCTTCTGTATCTATTCCCCCCTCGAATTCTATTCACCCCGTTTAACTGTATATATTTTTAATATGGTTGTATCATAGTTGGTACAATCTATAATTAATATCTATGCGAACTAATAATATCTACATTATTATATCTTTTATAGTCTAGTGGTCACAGAAGCGTCTGTTGAACGCTTAGTCCAAAATCGGTTAAAGTATTATTGAGCTACTCAAAGTGACATGCTTAATGCATAATTTAGTGATTCAGAGCCACAATAAAGAATTACAATAAAAATTACATTTTTACGAAAATCGAACCGAATTACCAGCTAAGACACCGCTAGACCATAAACGCATAAGTTTCTAAAAAAAGGCAAAATTCTATAACCAGCTATGACACAACCAACAAACCCACTATAAAAATCCCCATGAATGACAAATCGGTAAACACCAAAGTTATAAAAGAAATCCAAATACATAACAATCACTACTAAATGTCAATAAAAATCCCAATCGCAATCACTTGCAAACTAAAACTACTAATTAACAGGCAACTCTTTGTTGGGCAACAGTTGCACAACTAGTTGGGCGATAGTTCCTCAACTATTAATTAATACTTTTTACCAACCACTCCTAAACCTTCTTTTAACTAAGTAGCACCTAAACTAACCGCTTACTTATACTGATAGGTGCTAGGTGTCACCTATGTTAGCTTGGGGTTTCCTTACGATTTAGGAGAGACTGGTGAAAACGCGCATTATTTTACTTTCAATAGTTATAATTCATAGTTGTGCAACTGGTAGGCAACTAGTTGGCCGATGTTGTAACTTACCATCGCTGAGTACGACCTCTGGTTGGCTGCGAACAGGCGCCTGTTTCGTCTCTATTCTTAGTACGCGGTGTTCTGGAAAAATATAACAAATTCTTAAGTTACTTTAAATCGAATATTCCCTGAAATAGGCTGCGTGCGCACATGAATATATTTCTGGAGTTATGAGCCCTTTTTATTATCATCCTTATTATTATAAATCGGAAAGTGAGTTTGTTTGTTCTGCTTTCACGCCGTAACTACTAAACCGATTGCTTTGAATTTTTGCAGACGTAAAGTTATAAGTCTGGATTAAATAATAGGGTACTTTTTATCCCGAAAAATTTGATATTTCCGAGGGAAAACAAAAATATTGATATAGATGGCGCTGTGTGTATTGGTATAGATGGTTCTATATGTCATTTTAAACCAGTCAACGAATTACCTACTTATTGGAAAAATCTAAATAGCGCGACATAACCGAATTCCGCGCGAGCGGAAAGCTATTTGTTTATTTGTCTGTCTTAAACGGCAGAACGTAGGTACTAATTAATTTTCTAACTGAAGGTAGTTGAAGACAGGCTACTTTTTATCCTTTTGTGACGCGAGCGAAGCCGCGGGAAAAAGCTAGTAATAAATAAATAGTAGATGTCAGTTACCGTCGCGCGACTCCTCCTCAGTCTCGGAGGGCGCGCTGGCGGGCGACGTGATCTGTGCCGCGCTGATTGCCTCCGACTCCGACAGGTCCGTGTCGTCTGCAACATAACAATCTACTGTTAGGCATCTGTTAATTCACAGGCAACTTTGTACAATATAAATCGAAGATTTTGAGTTGATTAACTGTTGCGCAACTAGTTACGCGATAGTTGGGCAAATATAGTTTTACCCAAAATCGCTGAGTACGGGCTCTTTATGTTGACTTTCACGATATTTCTATCGCCGATCAAGGCGACCAACGTTAAAATTAAAGAACTGTGTATAAAATACTGGCTGTAACGTAACTAACTAAAAAGCTAACGTATTCGCCCGCTTTCCCATGGGATAAAAAAATTGTGTACAATGTGTGTATGTTTGTTACGCAATCACGTCAAAACGGCTGAAGGGATCGGGATGTAATTTGGAATAATTGTTTTTATTAATTTGTGAAAAATTATATTAGCAAGGTATACGTACAATCAGAGCGTTGCTTCCTCTCGACAGTGCGTCTGTACTCGTCAATGTCTGTGTCGGTGACGTGGTCGAAGGGGTTCCTCGCATACGGCGCGCTGTACACGGCCGCGTTGTGTTGGTAGCCGCGCTGGATGATACCCTTTGACGCGGCGCCCATCAACACTTGCTGCTTCAACAGAAAACAACATCAAATTAATAATAAATATGCGATACCTACTTAAGTCTCACTACAAGTTTACACATCATTTGTATTGACAAGCATGTAAGCTAAGAATACGATAAGGGACACAATTAAATGTCCTGCAACATGTGTCGCCAGCGACGTCGGGTGAAGTAGCGCGATATTGCCGGACTTTGGTCGACATGTCTTATTTTTTTTTTTATGGATTAGGAGGCAAACGAGCAGACGTATCACCTGATGGTAAGCGATCAGCGCCGCCCATGGACACCCGCAACACCAGAGGAGACACAGGTGCGTTACCGGCCTTTTAAAAAGGAATACGCTCTTTTATTGAAGGTTTGAAGGTTGTATCGGTTCGGAAATACCGCCGACGACAGATCATTCCACAGTTTTGCAGTGCGAGGCAGGAAGCTACGTGAGAACCGCACAGTTGTGGCCTGCCAACCATCTATATGATGGGGATGCACATGCTGTCGTGAGGGTCGATCGCGAAAAAATGCGGCAGGTATCAGGTCAAACAATTCCTTAGAGCACTCCCCGTGGTATAATCGATAGAAAATACACAATGAAGCTACATCTCTGTGCATTGTCTGGCAAAATTCATGGTAGACGTTCCACCCACACGCACGAAGAACTTCGCATCAAGCTTCCTTGTGCATACTACTAAGGAGTAGAATTCTTTACCAGTCTGTATTTCCTGAAGGGTATAATCTGGGTGTCTTCAAGGCCCGAATGAATAGGTTGCTTATGGGACGACGTGCTCCATCGTAGACCGCATCATCGTGCACCACCAGGCGAGAGAGTGGTCAGACATCGGCTCATCAAATATAAATAGATCTATATTACTCACGACATGTACCCTTAACCGACGAGCCTGCATGAAATAATTGATGACTATTGATGAAGCGAAAGAGGTATGTAGGAATCGTAGTAATTGGCGTCTCTGCCTACCCCCATGGGAGACAGACGTGAAGTTGTTATGTATGTACTCACGACATGGTCCCCGGTGTGTGTATTGACGGCGTCCTCCCCGATGAGCTTGCTGGCCTCGTCCCACGTGACCCCCTCCAGTATATGCGACTGGGGTCCAGCGCTGATCTTGTCCGCGCGACGGTTTTCTTTAATCTGTGGTCAATTTGTATGATTGTGTTAGTGATTTGGAGTGTTTGATATTGGAAAGTCGATAGAACTATGTTTAAGTTAGGGATCGCACTAGAAAAATATATTACACAAATAGTAGGATTGCAATTTAGTATTTTCACTTAAAGTTCATAACTATAGGAACTAGGAATTGATAACAGTATATTTTCTTTTAACCTTTAACTACTGACGTGGGTGTCTCATAGACGGCGTGTTCACGAATATAAGAATTTTCCAAAAAAAAAAATATAATCTCAGCTACAATACAGTCATTTATAGACTGTTGATGGTGATGATGATGATGAGTTTTTAAACGTAGTCTGATGAATATAAATAATAATAATTAGCTCACCTGTTGCTGCAACGCCTTGAACTCCTTCGGATTGGTGTTCTTGGGGACAAACTGCAGCGTGTCGATCTTGACCGGAGTGCTGGAGTGCGCGGGAGAACCGTCCTGCACCCACTGGGTGTGACATACCCGTAACCATGTATAGCACCATGATGGTCACCCAGATGAGACGATTTTGAAGTCCACATAGTATAATTTGGTCATCAAAATTTTAATATTTTCGAGGTTCCAATATGTTGTTTTTTTTTTGTGAGAACCCCATGTTCGTTAACCAAATGTTTTTTTTTTGTAGACAAATTGGTTATTGTTTTTTGAAAGTACCAAACAATTTTTCATTTGGTTTTTTGTAGACCACTCGATTTATGTACACAGGTCGGTTATTTTTGTTTTTTTTTATGTGATTCATAATTATCAGTTGTTTTACCAAACCCAGTGTGGCCATATAATTTCATATATTCGGAATATATTTCCATTATTTTCATATCATTTTATATATCATATAATTTGTAAAGTGTTTTCATGTAGTATCCGTCCGTTCCGATGTCACCAATCGTGATAGAAAAAAAGAGAAAAAAAAAGAAAAATTAGTAAAAATGTTGCCAGCATGTTCAGCAAAAAATCAAAAAATATTCGACAAAATATTAATTGACTTTCGCTTATAACGGGGTTAGTATAGGATATGGAGAGGTGGCATTTATATATAAAATAATAAATAATCAAGAAAAATAGACAAACGTTTGTGCGTAGAAGAAAAAAATAGGAAAAAAAAAATAAAAAAATGGCTCAAATTTTTTTTTCTCAAAAAATCCTGGTGGAACATCGAGCATGTACAGTACAGATTATACGCAATACGGGCATAAGCAGAGATACAGGTGACACCGCATGCAAAGCTTATATTTACTAACAAATCGAACTGAAGCATTATGTTTAACATTCCTTAAAACTTAACTTCAAATAAGGGAGGGGCAAGCTACTAAAAATAAAAAAAAATCGATCAACATATTTTTTTCAATTTTCATTAAAAAAAACAGCATAACACGGGAATAACTCCCTAGATCTTGCATTGACATGTGCACAAGCACGGATTACAGGAGACAGGAGAAACAAAAGGTCGTGCAGGAGAAAGGTAAATATTTTTCACAACAAGTGGCAACATTCCTACCAATTTTTTTAACAGAAACACTGTACAAACTCGATGTTTTTGAATAAAAATTTAATTTTATCCATTGAACCAGGGTAAGTATGAAATGCTGTTGACTGTATCAAAAAATAGTAGTAAATTCTCTCTATTGGTAATTTAGACTTTATATTATATAATTATTATATTTATAGATTAATCCAGGACACCCGATAAGTTAGAAGAAGCTTTGAAAATGAGAAGAAGATAGAAAGAGATGTGTGACTAAATTCCTATGACTTGTGTTGGCGAGGTTGGGAAGTATATCTATCCGACGCCTACTACTCAATTTTAAGTATTCAAATTTCGTCACTGTGTCATTTTATAAAGAATTTGTAGTGACTTTGTGTGAATTAAAGAGGAAGCGGCTGAGATCTTCGATAAATTGTAGTTATATAAAAATAACATAACATAACACCATGCCTTTTATCCCCGAATAGTTAGTCAGAGGTGCGCATTACAGCACTTATAGTCACTGTACAATGTAACACCCCACTTTTCACTATGAGTTTATGTTATGAGTCCCATGTAATAGGGAGTGAGCGTATGCCATATACCGGGCACATTTTCAGACCTACTGAGATTTCTTGAAAAACCCAGTAATACTCGAACTCGAGCCTTACATAAAATATGTGCCTGTTTGTGTAGGTAATTTGATGCAGTTTAATTACATATCCTGATCGTATGACCATATTTGTTCCACGTTCGGGAACACCTTAAGCAAATGGTGATAAAATTGCTGAATAAGATAGATAAAAAATACATTACGAAGTACAAAATGAATCATCTAACTCGTCACACACATTAAGTCATAGAATTAAGTCAAAAACATATAAAAAATAAATAATAATAAATTCATTTTAATAAAAAAATAGAGTCGAAATTACCTCGTCGTTGTTAGCATCCACCCACTGCAAAACATTATTATATTAGTTACAAAAAAGAAAAAAAAACGAAAAAAAACAACAAAAAAAGTCTTAGTTAAAAAGTAGAAAAATCGCGTACAAAATTCCAATCAAAAGCATTTCATGTTGTGAGTGAAGCAAAAATAGATGTTAATTTTGATTTAAAATTATTTAATTTGTTTTTAAACATATCTATAGAAGCACAATTGTTATCAATAAGCTTAGAATACACAGTCCCGATGAGGCAGAAACTATTTATTTATTACAGAATCTTTAAAAATCAAGAAACAATTAACTAAAAATCGCGGGTTACTCACGTGAGTATACTGAGAAAAGCTCTACTAGTTTCGAACCACAGAGGGGTTCTTCCTCATGAGCAGTGTGCGCGGCGTGCGTTTTTTCTCAGTACATTCACGTGAGTAACCCGCGATTTTTAGTTAACCAAGAAAAAAATAAAAATCTGAAAAAAGTTTTGCCAAACAATTCAGGACTTGTGTCAAATAAAAATTATAAAATCTCACACACAAGTATAGCTTTAAGCGAATTATACAAAAAATCTCGTAATAATATATTAAAATAATCTGATTAATAAAATATACTTTTTTAGATAAAAAAAAAATTCGATGATAGCACGTTGAAACAAAAAAAAATACAGAAAAAGAAAGATTTTTTGAGCCATTTTGAGCGCGAAATTTAACGAAAAATGCTCTAGAGATATTAGCACAAACTCTTATTTATTATACGTAGACTATATTTTAAACACTCTATAGCAACGATTATATATAAAAAAACTCCCATAAAAAATTAAGAAAATGTTAAAAAAAAAATTACGTATATAAACGCCACCGTCCCATAAAGAATAAAAAACCCGAAAAAAATTATAAAAAAAAATACTAAAAATAGAACTGGAATGTACTAGAAAAATGAGATATAGTTGAATGCTTCACTGAGATATCGTGAAGAGTACAAAATACAAGATTAGTCTCGTAAAAAACAATAATAAACTCTTTGTGACTATAATATTGTGATTTACGTTAATGTTTACATTATCATTTTACTCATAAACATATTCTGGTTTACCGACTTCGCAAAATAGTACTATTACATATTCCCCACTTCACAAAAACAACTTCATAAGGTTTTCTAGTAATTAACTTCAATACATATTGTTAACACGTCTATACGCCCTTTTTATTCTCAAAAAGACAGTTAGATAATAATCATTTCAGAAAATCGCCAAATTGCACATAATAGGACAGTTGCCAGGATACCAGGGTATCAAAATTAAAAATCTAATTAGTCCGTCAGTTATTTTCTCGTATTAAGTTGCAATACTTAGATAAAATGGCGCTAAGTTTAGGAGTTTACGTCGGAACGTGGTACAAAATGTGGCACACTGTGACACACGATATTTCAAATTAATAAAGTATTTAATTTTGTGAGAAAACAAAAAATACGTGTCTAAAGTTTTAAACTAATGTACCAGACGGACATTGAAATAAAATTTAGGAAACTACCGTATTCTAGGATCTGTAAATGCTAGGATTATGGGGCCCGTTCACGGCTTGAAATAAGTCGAGCTCTCTCAATTACTTAAATAAACGGTCGTAACTAGCTAAATATTATTTAAATTCACATCGAAACTATTCCAAAGCCAACAATTTTGCGAAATCGGTAAAAAAGTCTTCTAAATAATAAATATAAATCTATTAATATATTATTATATACGTTGTTATATTCTTTTATATAAAGTATTTCAGTAACATATGAACAAAGATTACTTGCAGCCGAGATAGGGTACTTGAAAACTAATCAACTTCAGTACATTTTTCGAACTGTCAAAACGACAGTTTTCTATGAATTTTGTACGAAATTGTGTTTTGTGACGTCACGTTTTTTTAGCGTCAAACAGCATACTTATTTCTTAAAAATTTGCTGGAATAATATTGACATTAAGTCTGTTATAAAATCAATGAATGAAAGTGTGATTATTTTTTAATATTTCATTGTATTGAACAGTCGAAATATGTAATTTATTTTTGATTAAAGAAAGTTCCCAATTGTTCGGACAACGACAATCTCGTACAAAATTTATAGAAAACTGTCGTTTTAGACAGTTCGAATAAATATTGAATTTGACTAGTTGGCAAGAAGGCAATTGTTACTCCGGAATAATTTGAGTAATCATTCCATGTCTCCAAGCTCTTACGTAATCTTCATCTTGTTCATATATTACGAAATAACTTTTGCAAAACTAAATCTAATCATTAATGTTTTTTTTTGACGTACAGATTTTGATGTTGGCGATATATTATTGCTATTACTATTATTATAGAAGGATGGATTCATATATTTGTTAGTTCGACTATCACCTATATAAATGTACTTTGATATATTTATATGAATCATAATAATAGATTTAAACTTATACTACAATATATGATTGTAGAAAGCTGATAATATCCATCTATTTTGAAATATTCAAAGTTTTAGCGCCGATTTTTCGTAGTAATTGGGCCTCCTCATAGTCTTCCAAAAAGATGGGGATTGAAGTGGGTTCTTTGAAAGTAGTTTATATAAGAAGTTATTACTTAAAGATTTAACATTCCAAATATCTGTCAGTGATGTTAATAGACACTTAGACAGACTTCATTAGACAGAGGGCTCATTGATTACGAATTTATTTTAGGCTCAACGAGACCGAAATGTTACAGCTTTCTGTGCTCTGATTGGCCGGCGCCAATGAGCCAACCTTTCAAGACACCCGCTCTAAGGGTCCGAAACCCACCAACGGCAAGTACCAATGTGACATTTTCCGAGTTATATGTACTTTCTAAGATTATTTAAACACCACTGACAAACGATGAAGGAAAACATCGTGAAGAAATCTGGACTGATATTTAATTTCTAATTATAATTTTGATATCGCTAACCCGCATTGAGCAAGCGTGGTGATTAATGCTCAAACGTGCTCCGTGTGAGAAGAGGGCTTTGGTGGCTTATAGGCTGTTGATGAATCAACGAACCAATCAGAGAGCGGCAACGTTTCAATCGACTTAAACGTAAAATAAATCGTACTACGCCCTCAGATTTTATATCAACACTATATTTAATAGTTGTCTACTTTTGAAGCTAATATTGTAATCTATGAAGAATCTATGTCTGGACATTATTTTACGCCTACAGAGCGAGACAGATCACTCTGTCTCGTTCACACAATTCAAAATTTAAATGATTTTTCGCCAAATTTTTAGACTTGTACTTGTATTTTTAACTTGTAAAAATTACAGTAAGCCTGTACGCCTTCATAATTGTAACCGATGGGAATCAAATATAGGACCTTTCCTTATAAGACGTTTAGACGAATTTGAGTCGTTTAGAATGAGCATTGTATTCAATTTTATGCTTTATTCATATGTACTTAAATATTAACGTTAATTGTTCTCACATATTTGAATCAACGATGTATTGTATTGTAAACCTGATTTAAAAAGAGTAATCTATGGAGTTTGTCGCTCATTCTTCTCCATAGGAATCTACACCTTGGACTGAGCAAATAGAGCAACTAGAGGACTGACTAACACTTGGTTTTTGACACCGGACATTTATTAATCTTTCTTTGGTTTTCGACAATGACTCATTGTCCAGCGAAGGACTGGCACCCCTAGTTGATGATCGCAATTGTGTTTACTATTCAAAAGCGAATCTTTGGTCTTTTTTAACTCATTCTAAACGCCTACAAAGTACGGTCTACTGGTCTTCTCGTCTTTCCGTCTACTGGTCTACTCGTCTACTCGGCCTCAATCTTTAGATATTCTACCTTGGTGATCTTCTTCGGGTCAGAGGTGCCCGTCTCCAATACTTCCACCTTCTGGTACACGTTGGGCGAGTTCAACCAGCGAGTGCGCTCGCCCGTCTTGCCTTGGCCTTTCTTCCACAATCTGGGGACATAGGGGTAGGTGATATGAGTAACTTGTAAGTAAATGGTTAATTTTAACTGAACTATAGCCGTATTAGTTAGTGTTTATGACATGGGATTGAAAGAATGTCAAACTAAAACTTTGGGGTGAGTCTATTGCCATATACCGGACACAATTCCAAACTCCATGCTACTACTGGGATTTTTTTGAAAAACCCAGTAATACTTTGCCTGACCCGTGAATCGAACCCGAAATCCTTTGCCCGGCAGTCGCACTTGCGACCACTCGGCCAACGAGGCAGTTTATTTTATTTTATTGAATAAAATATTGCCTCTGACTGGGATTCTTCCACAGTGCCTGAGTGTGGTTCTTCTTTTTCCCAATGCCAAACTGTGTCAGTACAATATTAAGTCCAATCTATTACTTAAATTTTTTATCAAACATCATCTTATTACAGTTCTTCTCCTTTCTCTTTCACGCCATTTCTTACAGTCTATATACATACTTTGCTTGTCTTGAGTGAATTTACATCTACAAAATTCACTACACATTTTTTTAATACACTTAATATCAACAATTTACAAAATAAAAAATTTCGTTGTGACTTGGGAACTTGAACCAGCGACTCTTTACTTCGGTCACGTTTGGAACAACTTCACTAACTACAGAAGAGTCTGCATTACTAATAGCATAGTTTCAAATACTAGGCGTCCTACTTACCCCTGCTTGTACAGTTCCTCTTCCTCCAACAAGTACCCCAGCGAGGACACCGCCGGGGGAACCTCCACGTCGTTCTTGGGGCGGGGGACGTCGTTCTGTAGACAGACACACATACATACTTATCATTTACTATACTATCATTGTTTCTTATTTTAGAAGCATCTCTTAATTAGACACAGCAATTTTATTCTGTAACTTTAAACGATCGATGTCAAATTCCAGACTCCGTGCTACTACTGAGAATTTTTTAAAAACCCAGTAATACTTTGCCCGACCCGGGAATCGAACCCGGGACCCCTTGCTCGGCAGTCGCACTTGTGACCACTCGGCCAACGAGGCAGTCTTCATGAACGTTCATGAAGTGTCTTTCCATTATACTAACCCCTACACAAGGCTACACCTATCTCAGGACCTACACACCTCACGCCACCACTAAAGGATCCCAACACGTTTATTCATTGATTGTACAACTTGATGTTAAAAATGACAAAAGTTTATGAAATGTATACATTTTTATGTCTAATAGCATATTTATTTCTTAAAGGTTAACTCAAAAGTTAGACAATGCAAATGTGATTATTTTAGACTAGCTACTTCCGCGCGGTTTCACACGCTCTGCTCATCTCCTATTGGTCGTAGCGTGATGTTTTATAGCCTATAGCCTTCCTCGATAACTGGACTATCCAACACAAAAAGAATTATTCAATTCGAACCAGTAGTTTCGGAGATTAGCGCGTTCAAACAAACAAACTCTTCAGCTTTATAATATTAGTATAGATTGTGGAAAGTACCCAATTGCTCACCATATTGGGTGGCATGCGGTGCAAGTACGCTTAAATATAAGTTTGAAATCGCCAACCCGCATTGAGCAAGCGCGGTGATTAATGTTCAAACCTTCCCCGAGTGAGAAGAGCGCCTCAGCAGTATCCACTTATAGGCTGTGGATGATGGATGATGAAGCGATATTATAACCAACATACCTTGATGAGTGGATGTCTGTAGATGTATCCGGTGCGGAAGCCGGCGTTGTCCAGCATCCTCATGAGCGCCTCGAACTCCTCGCCGCCCACGCGCCACTTGCTCGCGTCCGACGGAGGCTTGCGAGATGCCTCGTATATCTACGAAGCAATATAAACATTTAATAAAACTATTATGTTATTATAATTAATTTAGTGTAATAAAAAGTAATAGACTGGTAAAGCTTGTCGCCATTCGTAGTAAGCGGTATACTTTAATGAAATGATATCTCTGTTTGCAAATTGGCTATAATGCGGCTAATATTTTATACAAAACTGAATTAAAATTAGATATTGGATCATTTGATAAATTTATGCCTAATTATTGAAACGCTACTTAATTTAAATCATGCTTAAGTATAGTTCTGTTATTATGAATTTATTGTAAAATGACAGAGGTGGCACGATATTAAAGTACAACTTAAAGTTAGTAGCCTTTCAATATTTGTTTAGTGTTCGTGGTATTTTGTAGACTTTTTTGCTTTATTATGTATTAATTAGTTGTCTTTATAGTGTTAAATTCAAAGAAAAATTGACTATAGTATGGCATAACAGCAACATTTTAGTGATTTCAGAATGGTACTGCTTTAGATTTTAGGAATTCAAAGAGAAATGGTATAACAATTTCTAATTAGTATATAATACTACAAAACCATTTATAAAACAATTATTTAATCAAATATAAAATAAACAAGTTGAAACACACACCTGTCTACGAGTGTCCTCATCCATGAGCGTGAGTTCGTCGAGCGGCAGAGAGGCGAGCCTGAGCTGGACCTCGCAGGCGGCGGCCAGGTTCCTGGCGTGGTGGAAGGCTTCCTCCAGCGTGGCGCCGCAGCACAGCGCGCCGGCGCCGCTCAGCACCAGCAGCTTGGCGCTGGGCCCGAGCGCGCGCACCAGCTTGTCCTTCTCCGCGTTGTCCAGCACGCCGGGCGGCACGGCGTGGTACGCCACGTCGCCCAGCAGCGCGGCCTCGTGGCACAGCGGCAGCAGGCCGCGCCGCGTGGCGGACACGGCCAGCGCGGCGGGCGCGCGCACGTGCAGCACGCAGCGCACGTCGGGCCGCGCCGCGTGCACACACGCGTGCACCGAGAACCCTGCACACCAATATTTATTTATTTATTTCTTTCTTGGAACCACAAACCAATAGCTATAGCCAAATGTCACTTAGCGCTTATCTACTTGTACAATAGAAAACCAAATTATATGGAACTGACGTATATTTGCAGTGTCATCCCCATACATTGAATTTTCTACTATCTAAGTAGACAAACACTAAAGTGTTATTTGATTAAAGGCACAGTTTACAATTCACCTTAATATTTAGATCTTAACTAATACAATTTTACTTATTGCAAACTCTACATGAATATGGATGAAAAGACTGATAACTGTTGACGAAGCGAAAAAAGTATGTAGGAATCGTAGCTATTAGCGTTCTTTAGTCTCTACCTACCACCCTCATAAGAGACTGGAAACAAGCGGCTAATAATTTAATTCCAAAAATATAATACAAAATACTTTATATAATACACACCCATTATCCCCAAAGCATTAGACAGGTGCACATTACAACACTTACTGCCACTGTACAATATAACACTTACTTTCCCCTATTTATGTTATGATATATGTCCCATGTAATAAGGGGTGAGCCTATTTCCATATGCCGGCCACAATTCCAAACACCTTGCTACTACTTAGAATTTTTTATAAACCCAGTAATATTTTGCCCGACCCGGGAATCGAACCCGAAACCCCTTGCCCGGCAGGCAATAAATAAATACTATTTTTTACGAGATCACATTCATCCATCCATTCAAATCCAGTTAACATACAAAAGCTGACAGTTCTCACCATCGACATTGACGGGGAAGTTGGTGGTGCCCTGGTCCTGCACGGCGCCCTGCATGTCGACCTTGACGAGCGAGGACGCCGTCACCTCGTGCGGGAGCAGGCCGCGGGGAGTCGTCAGCACTGACTCCACTGCCGTGTTCAGACGAGCCGTTATCTGTCCGTGGTTGCCGGCTGGAGAAGATAAATGTATAATGTTAATGAGATATTCTGTTAAATTAATTATCATATTTGTATTATATTCCTCTTCTAAAAATACTCTGACTTATACAACTGAACACAACAGTTTGGTTGGTTCACTTAATTCGTCTGTACGACGGTGGTATCACACAGGTCGATTCAAGTATACGAATTTACGTTTGATTATAAGGCTGAAAATATAGGCTGGGAGAGCCACGCTTCGCCACTAAATGGTCGGCTCAACCGGAGTCATACCACGGCCGAGTAGAAAACTAACGTGAAACAACGCTTGCATTGTGTTACGTCGTGTGAGTGAAATTACCAGAGGCCCAATTACTCCGCTCGTTTACGAGCTTATTCCATAAAAAAATATCTACTTCTAATAAGTATGTAGACTCACTCTGCGTCCAACCGAAGAGGTCGACCAGGCGATAGACGGCGGCGAGCTTGCAGCGAAGGATCTTCTCGCCCTTCTCGTAGCCGACGCCCTCGATGCCGCGGATGTCGTTGATCGGGAGCACGCATGCGGGGCCCTGTACACAATGTATCATGAATTAAACAAACAATAATCACGCACGCCTTTTATCCCCGAAGGAATAGGCAGAGGTAAAAAGAGTAACGAATGGAGCATTTTGTTGTAAAAGAAATAAATAGGTTTTTAAAGTTGCAGAGGGTTCGATAAAATGGGGCCGTCGGTAGAGGGCGCCCTAGACAGACATATATGGACCAGATTGGCGATATATTAAACAAGGGTCGAATTAACAGTACCCTTAACCGACGAGCATTCATGAAGAGACTGATGGCTGTTGATAAAGCGAAAGAGATATGTGAGAATCGTAGCAGTTGGCGTTCTGTAGTCTCTCGTCTACCCCCATCTGAGACAGGCTTGAGGCCATATGTGACTTTTAACTAATTATATATGAGGCAACAGACTTTAGCTCATAAATAGGACTCAGTGCCTATGATACCGGCCGATGGCCACTTCCTAGTCTGTCTCCCCCAAAAAGCAAAGCTCCTTTGCAAGATTTACTTCATAAAACTTTCACTAGCGCCCTTATTGATGTAAGTACCACATACCCTCATGCTTCCAGTATGCAGCCGTCCTCCGACCATCTCCCGGATCCGTTGCAGCAGCGGCGCGTCGTTCCCCTCGTGCATCTGCTGGTCCAGCACGCGCTCCAGCTCCTCGCGGAACAGCTTCGAGGACATCAGCGCCTCCACGCGCTTGCGACGCTCCATCTCGCGGACATCCTGTAATAGGAATGGAATGTCGAATTCAGTAATAGGAAATTTTAAGTGAAACAAGTGAATTTATTTCTGCAAATAGGCAGCTACACGTCAATTTTATCAAGCGAACGATGAGGTCGACTTGTCTTGGTATTTAGTGACAAGAATCTTATTTCTACTACAAATTTTGGTAAAGAGAAGGTCGAGTTTAGTTCAAACGTAGTATTTTAAACGCGCTAGATTTATTAATTTATTTATTCAAGTCAAGTCAAAATCATTTGTTTCAATTAGACTTTTGAACGTCAAAAAAAATATTTTTAAAGTGAAGCTATTTGCTCATTTCAAGGTGTAGATTCCTATGGAGAAGAACGAGCAAGAAACTCCATAGGTTACTCTTTTATTGCAAATTAATGAGGTACATGGCTAGTGTTAGTGTTGGTCCTTGCGTTGCGCGTCCATCGCCACTCCCGCGCACGCTGCCCATGAGGAAGAGTCTCTGTGTGACTTGAAACTACTAGAATCTTTCTCAGTATATTTACGTGAGTAACTAGTACTATTTTGATTAATTCAGAGTGTCTTACTACAGTTATTATAAAAAACATAATAAGGTACATCTTAACCCTTTGAGTACCGTCATTATAGACACAATTAAAGAACAATAGGTGTGCGCCGTGTGCGGACACCGGTGTCCTCGCGGTGTTTGACAGTTTAAGTAGCACAACTACATACATGCCTTAATCAAAAATAAATTATTTCGACTGTTCAATACAATCAAATATTAAAATATAATCACACTTTAATTAATTGATTTTATGACCAACTTAATTTTAGTATTTTCCAGCAAATTTTTAACAAATAAGTACGCTGTTTGACGCTAAAAAACGTGACGTCACAAAACACAATCTCGTACAAAATTCATAGAAATTTGTCGTTTTTGACAGCTCCAAAAAGTATTGAATTTGACTAGTTGGCTAGTACCCAATTAACTCGTCGAGTACCGGTTTTGTGGACACAATTATAGAACAATAGGTTGCGGTCACCGGTGACCGCTTGGTGTTTGACAGTTTAATAGGGGTAAAGGCGTAAAGCTGACTGCTTACCATCAGGTGATCCGTCTGCTCGATTGCGGGTCTATGACATACCTACCATGTTCCATTCTCTCTCCGTTAATTACAGTGTTGGTATACTCACAGCGTCGATGTCAGCGGGTCTCTGCTTCAGTCTCTCGTCCTCCTCCTCCGTGGACAGCGGGCCCGTGCCGTTGGCCAGCGGCTCGGTGTCGGTGTCTGCCATCGTGGGCGGCACGGCGAATTAGCTCTGGAAGAGAAGATAATTCATACGTTAGGAAAATTGACAACATAAAAAACATTCGTCATTTGCTAACCGATGTAAAACAGTAATGAATGGAGTTTCTAGCTCGTTCTTCAAATTCAAATCTACATATTGGAATGAGTACTGGCTATAGGCTATAAAACATCACACTACGACCAATAGGAGCCGAGCAGAGCGTGTGAAACCGCGCGGAAGTAGCTAGTAAATAAATAAATGTATACTAACGGAAGCGAAACCTCTAGCAAAGACTATAGTATCGAAATGACATCATTTAAAACCAATAAATGCATTATAGTATCCATGTGCGGGGTCTGTCCAAATGGGTGCTGACATTAGTCAGTGCAGGCATAATGACTGGCGGCCATATTTAGGTGTAGCCTAAGTGTTGGACTGAATGCGTGATTGTATGATAAGTGATTAGTATTTGGCGCCATTGGTGAGACATTTGGGCTAATGACAGGGAAATGTATTTGGGATGAGGATGTTTGTCTTTTGATCCATAATATCGGGTCTTTTTGGTTATTTGGTAGACGGTGTGCTTATTAAATGCAACATTCATTTTTCGTCTGTTTTTTTAGTAGCCATAATCGGAACTTAATTTAACCGCGCGGTAGCTATATAAGGTGTTAATAAATTAACTCTAGGAAATCTAAGGTTTTGTTGTAACATTTATTCCATAATTAATCACGAAAAAATAATTTAAAAAAGCTACCGTTCTAAAGTTATTCCACTATTTGTGTTACACGTAAACAGCCTAATATGCGCGCCGTACGGCGTACTAGGCCGTCGACGAAGCCCCAAGCGACCGCGCTGACGCAGGTGTCGTGGTACCGCGCGCTTATGTTACTACTGAACTTAATAATGTTTCATTTTAATAAACGACCACACGACTCTGTTTAGATTATGTTATTTAACTGAATTGATATGCTTATAATTAAAATAGCATAGCTACAATGATTAATTATGTCAATTTTTTGAATAGGTAAATACTAATAATAACTCAACCAAAAACCAATACTTCGGTAGTTAGTAGTACTAGTACTAGGTGGTAGGTTGGTAGTTACTTAGGTATTTATCATTTACAAGTATTCATCGGAATAAATGCCCGTCTCTAGATACCTAAGTATTAACAAAGAGTCTACCTTATTTACAGAAGATGCTGGAACTTGGAAGTGTCTTCCACTTTGTTCGATGCACAAGTTTGTACGACGCGACGTATTACGATGTGTCTCTGTCACTTTTAATAATATCAAACGCGTTTATTATGCTTATTTTTAATTCGTCCGCGTTTCTAATCTCACTACCACTGACGAGCTGCAGATACATTTTCGCCACTTCTAATGTACCACATTAACATGTCTAAGTACTTGCGGTTACTATGCGTAAACTGCATTATTGAATATTGAACAACAAACAATAAAAAATGGCGCGTGCGATTGATCGGACACAACACTGAACGACACTGAGGGCCACACCCTTCCCGCGCGACAGCTATCGGTCAACTGGCGATCGAGAGAGAGAGAAGTGGGAAAGAGAGCGGGGCAACTAGCGAACGGGAGAGAGGGAGAAAGAGAGAGAGATTGCGATAACATGGGGACGGTGACGGCGCGCCATTGCTTCGCTCGGGCCGCAAGCGCAGCCCCACGTACGGTTTGCACAAAAACGTTTAACCAACTCCTTTATTTTTGTTAAAAATTAAAGTTGTTAAAATTGTTAATTTTTTTTTGCTAAACGTGTCAGTTTATTGATTCCCACCAACCTCATAAAATATTTAGAGCGAATTTATTAACACCTTATATAGTTGCACATTATAATATAACATAACATAACATCACGCCTCTTATCCCCGAAGGGGTGGGTAGGCAGAGGTGCACACAGAAGTAACACTCACTTTTCATTATTTATGTTATATGAGTCCCATGTAATAAGGGGTGAGCCTATTGCCATATATATACCGGGCACATTTCCAAACTCCATGCTACTGTTGAGATTTTTTTAAAACCCAGTAATACTTTGCTCGACCCTGGAATCGAACCCGAGACCCCTTGCCCGGCACTCGGCCAACTAGGCACACATTATAGTATTTAGAAAATGTCATTTGTGTAGAAAATAAAATTTTGCGAATAAATAATTATTAATTTTTACATCCTGTGTCCATAGCTTCTTGACTATTGACAGTTGCGGCCATAACGTGTTTATACCAGGAGCCGGTGTTTCAACAGACAAGAGGATAATTTCCAAAACTTGAACAATGCTTGAGTTGACCCAGGACTCGGAATCGAAACCCCTTACTGGACAGTCGCTCAAGACCACTCAACTAATGAGGCTACCACAAAATATTAACACTATATAAAAGAAACGAGAAAAGAAACTCAGCTTTACAATGTCCATCGCTACCTCCACGCAAATGACGCGAATGGGTGCAGTCCACTCATACATACATGCATACATACATACAAATATATGAGCTAAACGTTTAGTAGTCATTGTATGAACTAGATTGAAAGGAAATTGAATGAATGCTGAGTGCCTGTGTTGTTACTGCGCCCGAGTATAGTATTGTACTATAGCATAGTACTGTAGCATAGCTTAATATATGACGGCCTCATCGGCCGAGCGGTCGCAAGTGTGAATGCCGGGCAAGGGGTCTCGGGTTCAATAGTGTAGACGACTAGTTTTTATATCAATCAATGTCTGTCTGGTAGATTATTTAAAAAATTACATTTGTTACATTTTCAATTTTCATACCCTGTCATCATCCCTATTCTCGGGTCGGGCAAAGAATTGGGTATAAAAAAACATTGTCAGTATTAAGCACGGAGTCTGGAAATTGCCGGCCTTATGAGGGTGGGGGGAGAATGGTACCTGTGGTAACCTCACTCACACAACGAAACACAACGCAAGCGTTGTTTCACGTCGGTTTTCTATGAGGTCGTGGTATCATTATGGTCAAGCCAGACAGAAACATGGCATTCTCTAAAAAGTACTGTACGGTTTACGTACATTCGTGTCGCGACATCAAGCTAAGTAAGCATATCGGTCGTTTCACTTAGTTCGTAACAATTATTAAAACGGTCTTCAGTGTGTGTACAACTGCCAACGCAACACAAGCGTATCTGTGAGAATCATTAAAACTATTACTAAACTGTAACTGGTGGATAATAAACCTTCTATATAACCAAGTGAAGAGTATTCATTCATCACCACACTCAACAATCAACTCAACCAACTGAAACCAACTAACGGTAGTGTACGGGCAAACTAAACCCGTACAAGTACTTACAACAGTTGTTTTGTATCAAAAACCTTACAAATCAAAGTCAATATGATTTGTTTCATATAAACCAAAAAGATCAGAACGTCAACAAAAAATTGAAAGTGAAGCTATTTGCTCATTCCAAGGTGTAGATTTCTATGGAGAAGAACGAGCAAGAAACTCCATAGGTTACTCTTTTCCAATCAGGCTCACAATACAATTCTCTAGTTACGAGATACGCGGAAACTATTACCCAAGGTACATAACTACATACCATGTACCATTAAGTATATACCACATAATTATATAGCGAAGATACTATAGAACGAGTTTGTACAAAAACTACGCCCACCAGAACTACGACGATTAAATTCTTGGCAATTTTTTGTACGCCATTGTATGGGAAGTATTGAGGTTTGTGTTTTAGTTATACATAAACTGGTTTGTTCAAATAAATGGGCTCTAATGAATCACAAGTTGTGTGTGTGTGCAAGCTTCCTTGTGCATACTGCTAAGGAGTGGAATTCTTTGCCAGAGTCTGTGTTTCCTGAAGGGTATAACCTGGGTGTCTTTAAGGCCCGAGTGAATAGGTTGCTTATGGGACGATGTGAACCATCGTAGACCGCATCATCGCTTGCCACCAGGCGAGATAGTGGCCAAACGTCGGCCCATCAAATATATGAGAAAAAAACTGTTGGACATAGAGTTTGATTCCCAACCTGAATACTAAAGAATTTATATTGAAGGTGAATAAAAAAGAAAAAACTTGCTGCAGAGATATTTGCCAAATAAATTAGTACTGTTGTTTTCATGGACTACTTAAGTACGAGTAGGTGCAATTCAAACACCCAGACACATGTTCCAAATTAAATTCTAACTTAGGACTATAACAATACAGTCGAAATTGCAATTGCGAGCACCGGAAATAAAAAATAAGGTCACAAAACAAATATGAACTATATTATTACATCATTAAACCATATTGACTGCAAGGTTGGTGCGGTGGCTGGGCAACCGGCTGCAGAGCAACGTGTCGCGGGTTCGATTCCCGCACGGAACAACACTTTGTGTGATCCACAAATTATTGTTTCGGGTCTGGGTGTCATCTGTGTGTGAACTTGTATGTTTGTAAACGCACCCACGACACAGGAGAAAATCCTAATGAGGGGCTTACAAAAAAAAAACAATACGACTTTAGCATATAGCTTTCCGGAGCTGCGAACGATCTAGCGGTTAACAGTGGCTCCGACTCAATGCAGTGTAGGGACAGCGTGGTGTTTAGTCAGTAAGAGTCTAACCCTCTCTCTCTCGCCTCAACTAAGGCGGCAGAAGTCATTGCATGACTTTCTCCCTTCAAAAAAAGGGTTCAGTTCCCGTTTGCGACCGCAGTACACCGGAGGGCGGCCGTGACCGCGCGTCCGATGTGAAGCCCCACGTGCCCCACATAGTCAATGTAATCTGCTATCGATCATAAGTGTCCACTGTCCACGACACTAAAGCAACTGTTAGTAATGTATTATTAATAATCCTTACTTATATTATAAATCGGAAAGTGAGTTTGTTTGTTCCACTTTCACGCCATAACTACTGAACCGATTGCTTTGAATTTTTGCAGATGTATAGTTAGTTAGAAATCCGGATTAATAGGGTAGTTTTTATCCCGGAAAAAATTGATATTCCCGAGGGAAAACAAAAGTATTGGTATAGATGGCGCTGTGTGTATTGGTAT